ACTAGGTGCGTTCCTCTAAGTCTTCCTACCAATATGGCCATGTTGCGAAAACAAGGTCAAACAACCTCTAATTAGACTTAATTAAAAACGAGGATATGGAATGATTTAATTAGTCATCCTTCACATGATGATTAGGGTGTGTTGGGGAGGAGATTGGGTTTCGATGACTCTTTAATTAGGCTTGTCGTGGAGACACTTATTTCATAGGTAGGTGCGTTTATCGAAATTGGCTGATTCTCGTTCTGTAGCCGTTTGTCTGTTATAAGAGGCCCAGGTCGGGATTTCCTTAGCTCATTTCTGCCAAATCCTCCAGTTCACACCAAGGTAAGAAGACCATCTGACTCTACTATGTATTTACTACCATAACTCAGAATGAAAACATAGATACTGATGATTTATTTAATTGTCTTTCATATTACTCAGCAATGTCTGTATGCGGGTGTGCATGTGTGCTTGGGCACTTGTGTGCGTGTGAACGTTGTATGAAAGCCAAACCGCCGCCGAACAGCGGGAATTAGTATCGTTCTTTGATGAGAGCAGTCATTGGAACTCTTTCACTAATCTTTCACTATCCAATTTCACAATTCGACAATTAGTCTCTCTTTCACCGTTTCATTTCTCAACTCATGTACTGACACAGGCCTCTGGCCAGCATTTTCTCCGAGATGATAAACTCCTTTTTATATGAGTTGTGTCTACCCGATTTCGTTTAAGGTGATGATTGATTGATTTTTCACCCAATGATGTGGTAGGGGCTGATGTTTTGCATTGAATTTCACATAACCTCCTTCCCTGGTCATTTACAAAAAAGGAATGTCGTCAATTGTTGTCAATATAGGTTTGCTTCTTCAACAATCCCAACACAAAATGTGATATGGAAATTGCCTGCCTTCATCGAAATTCACATCTACCTTGTGGCCCAAGTGCACTCGTAGCAATGTGGCATAGTGGTTATCGTGTCCAGATTACACACTGCACTGTCATGGTTCGACTCCTGCTGGGTGTGTTGACAAGATCGAGGCGAGGTCGAAACTTCGGTGCACTCGAGCTTAGATGAGAACACCTTTTTGGAAGCAGTGGTATGCGAAATTCAATGGAAAACATCATCTATACCCATATCATTGTGGGATAATTCAACTACCAGTCCTTTATCACCTTAAACGAAATAGCGTGAACACATATCATATACAAGAGAGATTATTATCTCTGGAAGGAGGCTGGCCACAGGCATGACTTACTGCTAGCCTCGAAAACATGCTTATTTACAAAAAAATCCCGTCAAGTTATGATCTACACCTTCAAATGTTTGTCGACAGACCTACTGAGCCGACGATACCTCGTTCCGGCCTAGCGTTGGATCACAGGATCGCCTGATCATCGGATCAATGAGTTTCTACATTCTCAGACTTTTTTTCGGCATCATCACCGAACCAAGACTCTTAGCACCAGTCTACAGCACACCAGAGCCACGAAAGCAACCATATCTGAGACAGACTTAGTTTGTATCCGACGCGTTGTAGCTTGTTGCATCTACTGGCAAGTAGCCATGCGCCAATGGTGGACACTTTCATGCCTGCTTTTGATGAAGGATTTGGACAGGATAGCTCATTGCGGTCACCATGGAAATGCGAGCAAATTTCAACTTCCATACAGCGAGAGAGGAGTGCCACTAAACACCAACTGGGTCACCAACTAGGCTCTATTTGGCTTTCGACGTTTGTTGTGGCTGTTGCATGACAATCTGGGCTTCCACTTCTTTATCAGACAAAATGCTGAAGTAATGCTCATCTGGGATCCACCGGGGCTGACGGGACTTGGAAGCGAATTGCAGTTGGAATTGCCATATGCCTTCGGCAGAACAACATTTTTCGTACAAATGCAACTTCATTTCATCCTCGTTACTTCAGGAGTCAGTCTTGTCCCACGAGAAGCTGCTCTCAAATCTCAGATTCATCAGATTGAAACTTTAGTCCACTTTTGGTTAGAAAACATTTTTGGGAACAAGGCTGTGTTGTTTAGTGACTTTATGAGGTCTACTAATGTCAAACCAAACATAAAATGCTGTAAAATATATTTTTCGCTCTAATTACGCCGAAAGATGACAATAGTTATTCTTATAGGTTATTGCCACTTAAAGAAGTAATATTGAAACTAAGGCTGCCGCATGTCATCTTCTCTATACATGCGAATGTCATTATAGGATTAGTGTTAATTAATGGGAGAGGAAGGGACTTCTCTGTGAGAAGATTTAAAGGCCAATTTTTTTATGGCTTAATGCGTTCCACTATTAAGCACACTCAAATAACTTTTCAGGTGTTTACTCAGTATGAAGATAGGAGTCCATAAACACAGTATACTTTTGCTTATTATAGATGACCAGAAGATGAATGGAAATTAAAAGTAAGCTTGAAGGCCGATATTGAATAAGTAAATTTAAAATGGTTTTAAATGGTCCAGGTTCAGATGAATCTGAGATTCATCTCAGATTCACGCCAGACACTAGCGGGGCGGCTTGAGATCACTAGGGTTCGTTGACCTCGTCTTTCCAACTTGGTCCTGGCGTGAAGGCGACTTCCAAGGACGTACCATGTCTGCTAGTACAGCTTTATGTGACAAACGGTGACCGCGGCCACCATCACTGTCCCCATACCGTTAAAGTGACATCCAAATACGCATTTTGGTCACTCATCACGCCCCTTGATAGGGTGAATCTGCCCGGACAGGTCGTTGAAGTCTAGCCTGTGAAGGCCACCTGTCATTTATCACATCTCAGTGCCCCAATGCTCATGCGAATTTTCACTCTGTTTTTCATACCTTTTCCCATCTTTACTCACCTGACAGGAACTGGTCGCTTGTTGTGCATACAATTAAAGGCACTGGGTCTCTTCTTCTGGTTCACTAATTTTGCCCGGGCTAGAGCAGATGCCATTAGCCCTATCTTGATTTATGTCGATGGTGGTAGGCTTTATCTTTTTGCCCTGATTTACGAGACTTCCACTCAATTTTTGTCAGAACTGACGAATAGCTTCGACGGCAGGAGTCAACTGGTATGAGGCCACTCCTGTCTGGGTCGTCGAGACTGTTTCCATCATGTTAACATAATCCTTCCTCACTTAACCTTGCCCATTGTATAATTGTAGGTCACTCTCATCTTGGGTGTGTTTGCGCACCTCGTACCGATCGCCTCGTTGCATTGTCATGGTTTCTTCCGGCGTCAGCGGGCTTTTTCTTCGGATGTACTTTCATTTAAATTGCAAAGTAACTCGACTGCTTAGATGTTATTCAAATAGTTTGCAGGTTGCGCAGACAAAATCTCTTTATCTCTTATCGTATCACTTATGGCTTTTCTTTCATATGAAAAAGGGTACTTGTGTGTGCGTTCAAGTTCTCGCATTCCTCTAAACACTCTCCTTTAAAGGTATGTTGTGGCCCTTACTGTGGTCGCTGTCTCCTTTCGTTGTACAGACTTTGAGCTTATTTTTGCAACTTGGTCGTATTGTCAGGTAGACCCAGAGGAACACATCTTGTCCGGAGTTCAGAGTATGCACGGTTATTTCCAGTCAGACTGTAGACTTGTACATTCCCGGACTGGTAAGGTTCACTGATGATGCCCCGTAGGATGTCTGCAAAACGTCTGGTAATGTACCAAGTCCAAGGTCCGACAGCAAATTATCATGCATACTATGGAATCCGGACAAGATGTGCTCTGTCTTTATGACAATACGACAACCTTGCAAAAACAGTCAACAACACCCTCTTTCGGTTTTCACGGAAAGCTGCTGAGTTTGTGTCTGTCATGCCGATTGACGGAGATCACGAGTGCCAGAATTCATTGTTATATAATGACTTTAGCCTACAAGAAGTCGGGAAACTTCATGGGAAACCATGAGGTTTTGTGTAAAAAGTTGGGTATCTTTGCACACCAAAGGAGGGCTTCCCCGCTTTTTGAACTGTAGATATTTTCTAAGAAATTTTCGGATTTACGCCTCACGACTACATTGAGTCCTTGCTGAGCGCTAGGTTGTCATTTCACCTCAACCAACTTCACCAGACACTAAGTCAAGATCATTTATAGTATGATTAATACGGTGTAACATTAGGTTTAGTCTCAGTCTTCTCTATGTGTATATTATTCGTTTGACCGTGCCTCCGCAACCCCGTGATAGAGAGACCTTATGGAGCAGACTCACTTTTGCGTTTTCTGACGATATTAATGATAATTTCCTGTCAAACCATTCAATTAAAACATTTCCAGAAGTTTCCTCGGTATTCTAGCCGCATGGTCAGTGAAAAGAGTAATCCTTGGTACATAGTTACAACTTACAATTTGTAACCGTGCTAACAATGGTGTCTTCCATTAAGTCTGTCGAGTATAGTGCCGTCGATGCATCTTTGAATGTACCAAATCAGTGTTCCGATGTTGGCAATTACTATGGCTACTATGTCATAGGACCCGGGACTCGGTCCGTTTCACAAGATCTCCTCTCAGGTATAGCTTTTCACAAGCTCATTCGGGAGGTACAGCATAATTCGGCTGATCCATTTTTGTTATGGGTTCTTCCATTTTTTATATGGTAATGCATGAAAAAGAGATTCGTAGATTGTTCTCACCGTTCTACTGCAGTAATTTGGCTCTAATACTGCGTTCAAGCTAACGCAATCAGTGGGGCATCTTCCCTTATTTCATGAATCAGCCGCTGTCTAGTGAAATCAAAGTACTAATCTCTTCATACAATCTCATACGAAATGAAGGTCTCAATTAAAAGGCTACCTCAGGAGATACTTCAAAGCCCAGTTACTCGTAATCTACTTTTATATCTACGCTTAGATTTATATATATTAATATATTTAGATTGGTGAATGTGTAAACAGGCTGATAAGAACAACCTTCTAGATCATTGCTCCGGATCATGTTCACCAGGGCCTACTCCCAGACCAAAATGGAATATGTAAAATGTGGGCAAAACCTGCTTCCGATTTCTACTTACAATTTTTGTTATAACTCAACTTTACAAAATTGAAGAATTGCGATAGCTTTTCTGATCAGATGCTTAGCAGTGGTGCCTTATCCACAAATAAAGTCAAGATGACTATCACAATGCCTACATTATCTTGGGAATTACGATACTTCATCGCTTTTCACAAAGATCTTCTGGGACCCTCACTCTTTGGCCTAGCCTTAATTCCACGAGGGATCACCGAGACGAATTAGCAACTCTTTTCCCTGCGAGATCAACGTAAAAACTGATCTCGGCTTAGGTTATCCTGAATTCTACCTATTTAACCTTGGCCATATTGAGGTTGGGCAATTCGCATTGCTTGGTTTGGTCAGTCTCTTGTATTTAATGCCTCTTAATCTCGTTTCTCCACATTTTCGGTTTTCGTTCACTTGAAATTGTTAGCAGAACGTGCATATATATCATTGTCTCCTAACCACTCCGAGTCCACAATCCACGGCCTCGACTTCGCCAACAAGACCTTTGTTGAGAGCCGATTTTTGGCCGTCATCTCTCGTCTTACGATATTCCATTTCTTTTGAAGGGGGTAGGCGAGTAAATCAGTTTCTTAAATCAAGACAACTTTGTGCGTCTTATTAGAAACCCTATCTGTATCCTATATTCACTATTAACTCGACCTTTGTGCCATCAAATGAAAACATTCCATCTGGCTACATCTTTTTGTCTACTTTTCTTACATAACATTGTTAGGGGGACCTTCATTTCGAATGAAAGTACATGAAGAAGAGATTCGTTTTTCGATCTC